TNTTCTATAGAACTATTATTTTCACAGAACAAATTTTGAAACACTGGTAGTTAAGTTATTTTATACCACTAGATCTAATATTCTGTAACTTACAATATAGATTTGATGTAAGCATAGCTTTCCTTTCTTTCCAAACCTTAATCCAGTTCTTTATTCATACATGTCTCATCATGTATCGCATCCTCATGAAATAACTCTGATTATCATAGTAGTTTAATATCCGTTTATTTTCAGGTAGAATCAAGTAGATTTAAAAATGAAGAAGTCCGTCCATTTTCAGACTTTTTAACTGATTCATTCCAGCGCCAACATACCTATCTACGAATATCACTTACAGAACGGTGCAATTTAAGATGTAAGTATATCAAAAAACTAATGAATGGTAACAAGGTTTCAGCATTATTTCATAACTGCTTTATTCAATTTTAAAGAAATTTTAACGAGGTTTTCCAAACTTTTTTAATGTATCCGGGACACTGATAGCATCAATTAGCACCATTACAATTTTCAATCAGACGTCTATGTTTCCTTCAATTCCACCAAAACTGTTACGTCAATAAAGCAAGGGCCCTTAGATATTATTATCAGTTTTTGTGACAGTGACTTCTAAAAATGCTTAATATTAAAGGAATGACAAGAACCACAGACATCTGATTGAAAATCAGAAAGGTGCAAATCAATGCTATTAGTGTCTCTTTACAATCCTCATTCAGCCTTTACCCATTCAAAAGAATCATAATTTAAAAAACTTTTTAAAAACAGACTCCATTTGAAATCCAAAATTGACAAGGATATTGTTTGTTGATATTGTTGTTTATTCATATTGTAGGTCAGTATTGTATGCCAGAAAATGGAGTAGATTTATCACCTAAAACTGACTTGTTATCTACAAAAGAAATCCTAAATTTATCAAAGTTGTTTGTGAAAGAAGGAATTACTAAAATCAGATTAACTGGGGGTGAACCATTAGTTCGTAAAGATCTGGTGGAAATTATAGGTAAGATGGTTCGAAAAAAGAGGAAGAAAATAGAAAAGACCTTCAAACTTAGGTTCAAGAGGAACTTTTCTACCAACATGTCCTTAATGTCCAATTTTTAGCCAATTTAGTTGTTTTAATATAAGCTAACCAATCAAAAACACCATTAGAAGTGGTAAGACAATACAAGTCAATATCTCAGAAGGAAATCCTTTATTGATTAGAGAATTTGATTGGTTGAATAATAATTGACATTGTACAGGAGATGCATAACAATATAGTCAGATCGTGGATGGCAGCTGAATTCACCCATAGAAAAAGCATGAAACAAAATGATATGCATTTCAATCAAACTATATTGTTAGGGAAATAAACCAACAATAATGTTTGCTATTTCAGAAGGTTTAAATGAGTTGAAACCATTAGGACTAGAAGCTATAGGAATAACAACTAATGGTGTCACATTATCTCGGAAACTACCTCAGTTAAAACAAGCTGGTCTAGATCAAATTAATATCAGTCTAGATACCTTGGTGCCTCAGAAGTTTGAGTTTGTTACTAGAAGGAAGGGGTATGATAAGGTTTTAAGATCTATTCATTCTTCTATAGAACATGGCTTCCAACCTGTCAAAGTAAGTATGTATTTGAAACTTCGCACCTGATTTAGTTACCAGAATAAGAACACGAATTTAGTTCATGTCCATGTTAAAGGCGTTACTCAAACAGAACACAATCATGATGTTCCAATGTAAAATATTGAAATGAAAGTCTCATCCTCATCAATTGAGCTGTTTTTTTACCAAGGTTTCAACCTGTTTGTCTTTTAAAACAAAATCTGAAACTCACAAAGTGACTTGAATGAAATTGACAGCATCATGAAACTTATCTTCA